GAGCCACCTAGGTGCTCTGAAATCCTTTTTATTACAAATAACAGATGTCAAATCATTTTCTGGAAAATAATTGACCTGGGAATCAATTGTCTGGGAAAAAAGATCACAAAGAAATGATTTTAAAGTTTTTTTTTTCCCTTTCATCTAAGTAATTGTCTAATCTGATACACGCTTTAGAGTGAATGTATTGAGGCAGTTACTTACTTGATTTTGCTTATTCTGCACCCTATGATATTGAATTTTTTAGGATTACTGAGCCCACATTCTGTAATGAGAATTAGATATAATTTACTATGCATACTTTCTCATATAGTAAACTTTAAGCATATATGTATCTAGTAATAGCAGACCCTATGTTTTGCTTAGAAACAATAACTTATTATAATACACATCTTTTTATGTATGCATATTGTTTTGGATTTCAGAGGAGTATCCCAAATTTTCATTATCTTATACCACCAGCATTGGACACTACAGCTTGCTTTAAGAACTGATTTATTAATCATAAGTTTAATTCTTTTTTTTTAATGTTTTTTTATTTATTTCTAGGAGAGAGAGAGACAGCGTGAGCAGGGGAGGGTCAGAGAGAGAGGGAGTCACAGACTGAAACAGGCTCCAGGCTCTGAGTGTTGCAGGATTCTCGCTCAGAGAGTCATGACACCGAGACTTTTCTTTCCAGGAAGCAACTTTATTTTGCCGGCACCGCTCAGTTGGGTTCGTACCCAAAAGAACTGAGCGGCCACATCATATGGCATAGGGGTTTTTTATGCATTTTCTATTTCTTTGTCTCCTGTATATGGTAATACACATAAACATGTAGTCTGATTAAGTTGTTTCAGTTTACAAGAACATGGGGGATGTAGGCAGCNGGGAGGGTCAGAGAGAGAGGGAGTCACAGACTGAAACAGGCTCCAGGCTCTGAGTTGGCAGTCAGCACAGAGCCCGACGCGGGGCTCGAACCCACGAGCCGCGAGATCATAACCTAAGTGAAAGTCGGACGCTGAACCGACTAAGCCACCCAGGCGCCCCCATAAGTTTAATTCTTAAAACAAGATCTTTGTGGTAGAATTTGCCAGTTTCTTTCCAAACACCTATGCATCCTCTTCTCTTTAGAACCCAAACTCTAATTTTTAGCTGGTTATATTGTGTCCTATAATAACAAGCACATTGTTTTCCAGACATCTTTGCAGCTAAGTCTGGCCATGGGACTGAGTTCTGGCCTTGAACTATTAGGGAGAAATATGTGTGGGAGTTCTCTGGGAATTGATTAAAAGGGATTGACTCAACTAGAAGTTCAATATAGCCTTCCATTTTCTTCTTGGCTTTTAGTCTGAAAATCAGTGACAATAGCTGGAGCACCAACAGCCATCTTGGAACATAAAGTGACGTTGACGGTAGGAAGCCACGTACTCGGATGATAACAGAAGAAGGAGGAACTTGGGTCCTTAGGAAAGAAAATTGTGGACCCACCATTTCTATCTGTAATTCCAATTTTCAGATTTTTTTTCTGTGTGTGAGAGAAATAAGGTTCTATCTTGTTGTCATGGTTATTTTTGTTGTTGCTGTTGCTGTTAAGAAAGAATTCCAGTTGTGCCCAAACTTGTAGTCAAGAGTCTGGTTATGTCTGATGAAACCGTATATCCATCACCCTTCACTGCCAGCTATTAGTATGTGTTGTTAAAGACAGGTGGAAATCTATTCCTCTTAACAAGGAGTGACTTGGTAAACCCAAATACGACTAGATAATGTTCTTGTTTTTTTTCTAGCCTGTGAATTTGTGTCTATATTAGTTTTTTGTATTGTATCATTTTCTATTTTTGTTGTTAGGAGGGGCATTGTAAATCTGCCTTGTGGGAAATGTAACATCTTGCTTGGAATTGTGAATACCATGGATTCTCCATTGTACAGAAACAGGAACAACTGTATATTTCATATGCAATACCCTTAAACATTTTGCTTATTCATTCAACGGGTATTTTGTTTTTGAGTAGTATTATGGGTCAAGTAAATTGTGGGAAAGCTTTGTTATTTAGTCAACTCATGTCTTTATCAAATGGGACATGTGTGAATTAGGAGAAATTAGAAACAAAAAAGAGAAAAAAAGGAACTGAATGAAAAGTATCTAAAAAGATTGAAAAAAAAAAGATGAAAAGTGTTCAGAGATAGGGCTGTAATCTACACTTCCCCAGATGACACCAGCCAGTGAGTACAGATATTAATGTCAAATATTAATGCTCAAATTACAAGGGTTTGTACTTGCCATCACAAAACTTCCCAGTACTCCTGCCACGAAGCCTCCCAGGCTTTCTGGGAATCCTAGGGGAAAGGTGTCCCATGTGCTTATGATGAGCCTCATCATATTATTCACCTATTGGCTGCTATGGTGCTTGCAGGACTTTTGGGTAGGAATCTTACCCCTCTACGTGATGTCAGGATCTTCCAGGAGAACGCTAGTTTCCTGTGAAGATACCGTGTCCAAGTTTGCTCTAGCTTCCAAATTCCCACACTGCCAAAGGATACTGCACTCATATAAACTGCAATGTGTTGGCAATTGATGTGTTCTATGTAAACATTAGGAAACTGTGTCTCCAGTCAACTCTGCCACATTGAAATGCTACCGTTTATGCTCCCAAGTCTCCCATGAAAACATTCTTTTGTGCCCTTATTTATAGCCCTTCACTTTGCAGTCCTTTCTTATACTCTGTCTCTTATGTTTCCATAGAGGCTCCTAGGATATGAAGTTTATCCCAGTAGGTCTGTATTCTCCTATGTGTATCAACTCATGCTAACAGGTTACAGGGAGAGCCATTGCTCCATCAGTTCATTAGACATAACCAAACCATGAATTCTAGTTTGGGCTCAGATGGGAACCCTGCTATGTCAGAACTTAACACAGACTCTAGATGGTTTTGATAAAATAGCTAGTTGAGAACGAAGCTATAATTTCTTGATATTCTCTGTGACTGTGCATGTGTGTATTATATGTGTGTACATATATACATGTATGTATTACCATATGCCACAAAGCTTATAATTTTTATCAATGCGATATGCTTGAATATGGGAAGTTTCATTTTATAATTAAGTCATCTCTTTCAGTTTCAAAACTGATATAAAAGGAATGCCACATGCTATAGCATGTATTTTGCTTACTCTACATTTATCCAGATGTGAAAGTGAGTAATGTCCTTACAGTGTTCCTTTAAGCCACTAGTTTTTCTACATGCTGAAAAACCTTCTATACATAGTTTATATATTTTTGAATTTGAATTTATTTAAAAGGTGAGCCAATAGTTTTTTTTTTTTTTTTCTTTTACAGTCTCCCCTTTGTAAGTGTAGCTACTGTTACCACGAGTAAAGGAGATATGAACGGGTGGAGAAGATATGGAGAGGTCAACACTTTTGTAGATAAACACAATGTAAAAACAAGGAACTACTCTCTAATTATTGGCATAGAAATAATGGGAAGGAAACAAAATTACTTCCTGAACCACATTTTATCATTTGACTAGTTGCAAAGAGTACCTTTTTCCTGTTTTAATCAAATGAAAATCTTAACCATCTGAATTTAGGGCTGTACAGTAAATTATAACAACTTAGGATCCTTGACAATAAGTAATCACAGTACTATTATGGTTATTTAGCTAGAAAGTGGTCAGGGCCATTGAGAAATATTTTATCAGGTTAACTGGTTAGAGAAAGAATAGAAATACTTTAAAAAAATATCCCACAAAATATCACAAAATCTGAGAAGTCCGAGGTGTAAAATGTATGCAGCACTACCAACTGTAGTAGAAAGAAAATTCCAAAGCATGACAGTTCAGAGCAATTGTTAGTAGCACCTGTGGTAGGATTGAAGTTAAACAGAAAGAAATAGAAGGCATTTGTTTAATCTGATCTTGTTGAAAGAGGTCCCAGCACAGTAGATTTTTCCTTTTAAGATTAGCCAGATGTGGTTCTTTCTAAGGGCATAGTGATGGAACCACAGAAGAGAGATCACAAATGCTGGGAGAGAATGGCGGATACAATGAGGTTGTTTTTAAGACGGAGAGAAATCTATATAAAGGTGACTCAAACAAAATACAAAAGCTGTTTCCTCTTCAGTCGTTTATGCAGAAACTTGTACTACATTAAAAGGTGCGATGCATATATTAGCAATTCCCATAGTCTGGCTCTTTCACTACCTTGTCCTGATTAGCAGAGACTCTTTTGTCGGCATGGTCAACTATTTGCTTTTTTCATGAGTCGGCTGTTTGATCTTCACTCTTTCTGGAACTAACAGTAAAGGGATGCATTCAGAAATTTAGGAAGTTTTGGTTGGCATTCAGGTGTTAACCCTAGTATACTAGATGCGAGGTTTATATTTCATCTTAAAAGCTAGCTGGGTGACTATTGCTCTTTTTTGACAGCCAGCAAGAAGCACCGCCTTAGACCTGTTTGGCTGCTGTCCTGGGTAGAAGAGTTTGGCAGCCCTAGGGAGATGAAATTCTTCAGCTTTGGACCCGCCCAGAGTAGAGAAGCAACACCCTCCCAGCCACTACTCTGTTGCTATGAAACAAAAGACTGGGAAGGCCGAGCGAAGCAGGAAGTCCCGCCTTTTAGCCCCAGTTGGCTTCGGCTCCGGCTCCCAGGGCTCACGCCCACTCGGCCACCGCTTATTGGTCAGTTCCCTAGCGCCTGGCATCCTTTCTTCCATTTCCTTTCCCTTTTCCACTTTCGTTCTTGGGTGAGTCCAGTCCTCCCATTTCCCTCCAAGTCCTTTTCCATTTGGGACGTGCCGCGAGCGGGCCTTCCTTTGGGGCCATTGTGTACTGTGGGAGACGTGGACTGGGTGGTAGTTGGAGGACGGCCGCCTCCCCGCCATTGGCGCCGTCCGCTGTCGGGCAGTGCAAGGGCGCGTAGGATTGGTCTGGCCGCGCGCGGCCCCGCCCCCCGGCCCCGCCCCCTCCCGGGTTTCTCAGTGTGTGTATCCTACAGGGGTGGGGCATCCAGCGAGTGGTCTCCTCCTCCAGCTAGTGCTGCGGCGGCGTCCCGCGGCCTCCCGGAGAATCGGGCGGGAGGGGAGAGCGGGCGTGGATTGGTCTTGACGGTAATTGTTGCTTTTCCCCGTCTCCGTGGCCTCAGCTCTGGGTTGCTCCTTCCCCGGGAACGTGCTTTTACGGCGATCACACACTCCGTGCCCGGGCTCTCCACGCACCCTGGGCTGGTGCGTGTAAAGTAGGAGCCGCGCACACGCGTGTCTCTGGACAGCTACGGCGCCGGGAGGCCGGGAGGGAACGGGGCGCCGGGGAGGTTTGCCGCTTCTTTCCGGCCAGGGGCCCCTGGGGCAGTCAGGCGCGGCCACGGAGGGAGAGGGGACAGCCCTGGCTTCCAGCTGCCGTCGCCGCCGCCGGCACAGTTTGTAGAGGGGTATTTAAAGACCGGAACCCTGGCTGGGCCGGGGGAGGAGGGAGAGCGAGTAAAGGGAGCCTGGCGGCTGGGATTGCAGACATCCCGGGGGGGGGGGGGGGGGGGGGTGCGTCCGCTCGCGAGCCGAATGCGGGGCGCCCAAGACTGATCGGGCTGCGGACGCTGGAGGTGCGGGGGGATACTCTGTCCTTTCTGTGTCCACCTTCCTCCCCCAGCTGAGTTCCGAGAGTGGCCGGAGAGGGGCCTGAACAAGGAAGGGGCACAGCCGTCCCGAAACAAAGCTTTGGACCCCTCTGTCCCCCTGGGGTGAGACGAGGGGGAAGGAGCGACCTAAGCGAACTCTCTTATTGTGCCCGCTCTTGTCAGTTTCTCACCCCTCTTTTTAAAATGAGTTATTTGTTGTATTATTTGGCTCTTAACTCGGGGCTCTCACCGTGTTGGTTTAAAGAACTGTGTGTTCGGGTGTCTGTGTTCCTGTGTCCATACTTGTTGGTTTTAGCGGGGGAAATCCAAGTCCTAAGCCTTTGTTGACAACAGATAGGTCCCTTATGCTCCTGTGGAATAATGTTTACATTTATATAACTTGACGAAATCTAACAGAGTGAAAGTGGAGTTTTTGAGTGAGGCTTTGAAAATGTTTTCTGGGGGCTTTAGTTCGAATGTATGTAAGTAGAATTGTGATTAAGGCAGGGATGGGGAGAACATTGTGTTCTTATCTAGTTGGAGGAAGCCTGTCTAAGTTTTTTGTTTTGTTTTGTTTTTGTTATGAGTTGGTTATTAATCAAGGCTTCTGTTACGTGAAATGTGAGGATGCATCTTTAACTCTTACTGTTCTAAAAGCAAATGTAAGGTCAACGCTCCTAAACGTGTTTGTTGTGTGTACAAATTGAGACTGCAAATTCATAGGCTATTGAAAAGTTGAATCTGGGACCCCGGATTTTCTCCTCCCTGCTGAAGGAGAAGGTCGTGGGTACAAATTAACCTGTCCAGTTAACCTGGGTAAACATTTTCATGACCAACTAACTTTTTTTCCATTTCTTTTAAATCTGCCTTTTAGAGAACTACGGTTCCAGATGGCAAATTCTATGAATGGCAGAAACCCTGGTGGTCGAGGAGGAAACCCCCGAAAAGGAAGAATTTTGGGAATTATTGACGCTATTCAAGATGCAGTTGGACCTCCTAAGCAAGCAGCAGCCGACCGCAGGACTGTGGAGAAAACTTGGAAACTCATGGACAAAGTGGTAAGTTCTGTATGATTGTGCCTGTGTGCAGCCTTATTTGCCTGGATATGGTTCCTTCTTCTCTGGTTTTATTTGAACCATCAATTAGTATTACTGTTACCATTAATTAATAATTATTGTTATGGCAACAGTCTTTTGATTTGGATTGACCATTTTTCTGACATCCACTCTGTATGTTTTAAAAAGTTGGTTTCAGAGCAAAGACTTGTTTTCTTCACCTCTTGTCCTGCTCTTCAAGGTTCAGAGTTCCTCTATATGACTCAGATATGCAAAGTTTTTACCGTTGGCTGCCCTTTGTTGGTACATGGCCACAGAATAGTTTGGAAGTGTTTGTCTTATGACGTTGTGTTACTGTTAAATAACAAAAGAGTGCAAACAAGTATTTTAAGAAAAGCCTCTGATAGACCACTCATGATAACCACAGTACTTGCTGCTGAGAATATTTCCTAGGGGAAGAACCAGATTAGTCCTTAAGTGAGGAAGCAGTATTTGAGACAGTTTCCATTTTCATCTTTGAGAATTCATCTTCATTAAGGAACCTTTTTTTTTGTCGTCAGTGATAGAGTTACAGTTTCTTTCATCTATTCCATTTTGAAACAGGAAACCTTTTCAATTGCACATTGTTTATTGTGAAAGGAAAATTTATGATGGAGGTGGTGGGGCGGAGAGTATCAGAAACCTCTGTGGTTTTTGCATGTTGCTATCAGATGAATTATAATTTCACAAGAAGAAATCAAGCTGGATGTCCATACCCTGAGACGTCTAGGCAACTTGAATATTTTACAGGGGTCTACTGAGAAACTGTAGCTGTCAGTGCCCTCTCTTACTAAGTAGGGTTATAAAATAAATGTGATTAAGATGGAGCTTGCTGCTGTGCAGAATTAATAGTTCTTGCTTTTGAAGCAGTAGTACTGTCTGCTATATATTGGTAAATGTTTGTAGCACCATCTGGTTTCATTTCATAGATATTTGGGGCTAATTATAAATTTAGATGATGCAAGGCTCTTGATATTTTTGTTGACTGCAGAAATGGAATTAAAAAAAAATGCTTTGTAGGGATGTGCTAAAGCCTCCTTGAAATCACGTGATAGCAGTTGCCTTTACTGTGGCTTGTGATTGTGTACAAATATTTGCCACAAAAGGCCACTGGCAGTGGTATTAGCCATACAGGAAGGTGACAAGATTTGTTTTCTCTTCATTTATCGTTATGGAAAGTACAGATGGATGATAGGCCTGCCATTCTATGGCTGGTGGTACCAAATGCAGAGCCAGAAATTTTTGCCAGATAAATATCCTTAGTTCTTGGCTTCAGTGTGACCTATTTAAGCTTCTGCCAGTTGATTCAAATTGTGATATTAAAATGCTCCAGACAGAATGATATCATAGTGTCAGAACATTGCAACTTGCTACTTGAGGTCAGGTTTTGATTTTAGCATTGGATACTTAAGAATGAGGAGTATGCACTTGAAAGATCTGCATGCATTTGGCAGGTGCAACAGTAGTTGTCTTTGCTTTTCTAAAGAGTAAAAGGTTTAAGGTCTTTCTAACTGCCTAAATCATTAGTTGAGAGTAAGAGAAGGAATTCAACGTTTTTCTCTAACTTACCTCTTATATGAGTGGGCAACAAACAAATGGGTCAGATTCTACCAAGGAGCTGCTCTTCCCTCTCGACCCCTTTCTGTGAGTGGTCAGAATTTGTACATTTGTGAGTGAATGGGAGAACATCCAAAAAAAAAAAAAAAAAAAAAAGATTCATATGAAGTGGTGAAGTATAGTTAATATAAAGTCATTATTCTTCAAACATTAAGAAATATATTGATAATTCTGGTTTGTAACTGCTAACATAAGTCTTATCCACTTTTAATTATTTCGCCATGGGTTATGGTAAAATAGATGGTTTTTTGATAGTTAAGCTTCTGCCATTGTTTATTTTATTAACCCTTTTGTGGGTTTGGGTTTAGCCTCTCCAGTTGAGAAACTTGACTCGTAAGGGAAACTATTATTGACACTCTCTACTTAGTGGAATGAGGGTTTGGTTGCTGGCATAGGTGCATCGGTATGGCTTTCCCTCTATTTGTCTTCATTATTTGTCAAGAACGAAAATTATTGTGTTCATTTATGAATGCATCCATGGGTTTTGTGGAGGGAAATCACATAAATCATTATAAAAGAGTTCAGGATGTTTATTACTACTCTATCACACCGTAATAAAAAGGCCTTGATAATTACTAACTGAAAATATATTTTGTTTGTGTAATGCAGAAGTATCCCCCACATGTATTTACCTTTATTTTCTTTGTCAGCGGTGAAGGAAGTGGTTCATAATCTCAACATTGTCATGGTGATTACATCAGGATCTTTATTATTAGTCCCAAAGGTAAAATCCCTTGACACATTACCTAACCATTTTATAAAATAACTGCAAAAAGCATGAGTTTAGCCTGTGAGTAACAGAAAATAGTAACTTTCAAGCCTAACTGGTAGTTATGTAAAAGGCAGGGTTAAATGTTTAGTTAATATTTTTGTCTTTAGGAGGCCTCTTCAACAAGGGCCGATCTTAGATGTATAAACATGATACCAGCTTCAAGTTCAGTATGTTTCAGCTATCCACCTACAAAGTGAAATAACTTATTTTGCAAGGGATATGAAACAGTCTCAGACTGTAGGAGAAACATCCAGTGAGTGTGTAGTCTGACTATTCCCTGGCCTCTAGAGTTTAAAACAGTCAACTGAGATTCTGGTTCCAGCTAATTGGTATGTTTTCAGAGGGCAGGCTTGGTATACAAGGTCACTGAGAGCAGGAGGGAGTCAGTTGCTCAGTTGTGTTTTTGTGACATGTGAAGTGTTTTGTAATAAAACAGCAGGGGCACAGAGTTAAGCAAGGTACACTTGTTGAGAAAAAGAATGGCAACACATCCCAAAGCATCCCATTTACACGTATTTTTGGGCCTCAGCTCTGTGTGTCCATTTAAGTCAGTAGCTCACCCCAAACTCTTCAGGTCTGTGGATGCCTGTTTGATACAGTGACAGAACTATTACTTATGAATACACATCTAGGTTCAGATATACCTGGAATGTGGAGTTTGTGTCAAAGCTGTTACAGAGATGGGTTTCTTAAACACTTAATCAGCGTTTACTGAGCGCCTATACTGTGTTCAACAATGAGTGCTTATTGCTAGGGATGAAGCTAGATAAGATATATAACTCTGCCTTTGACCTGTCAGGAAGCTCAGAGACCCACATCGGAGCCAGGCATATAAAGGGTCATTTATTATTTACTTATTATTATGTTTACTACGTAATTGCCATGTAGTACGCGCGAGGCTGCGTTACAGACCTGCGCGAAGTACAGTGGGGCAAAGTGAAGAGTATCCACCTTGTTTTTCTGGCTGCTGTTTAGACACTTGTCTGTCTGGATTCTGCCAGGCAGCACCTTTAGGAACAGCATTATTGTACTCTTGTTGGAAGTGCTGAGGTGAGGGTAAGGAAATGATTGCTAATCAGTGTGGTAGGAATGATGATTTATTCATGTGAGGTTCCTGAGCATGGTTTGCACAAGCATCTCAGCCAGGTGGTGGAAAATGGAAGAAACAGTTTTCCATCTAATAGATACTAAATGTGCTGGACTTACATGGGTGTTCAGGAAATTAGAAAATAATTAATTGATGCCAACGAGCAAAGCAAGTTGAGTACCTGCCTACATTTTGTCTTGCTGTCCTTGTCATTTATTCGAAATTACATTATTGAAAGAGTTTTAAAAGCATTTAAAAAGCGATGATGCCAAAGAGCCTTTTCCGCCTTTTACCCTCAGTACATTCCGTACATTTGTCACGCTTGGAATGCAATTCATCCTCTCTCTTTATAATTTTACTGCAACCATAATATATTTTAAAGTTTGTCAAAGATGCTTGAAATATATGCAGCCATTTAAAAAAAATAATAGTAGGTATTCTTTTCTACAATGAATTCCTCATATCTCTAAAAAAATTATATCTGGCATGAAACTTAGGTTTTGGATGCCTATTGTTTGTGTCTGTTGGGTTTGAGACATCACCACCCTTAGGCCCTTGGAATAGGGAATATCATTTATTTGAATTATTCTTTTGTATTTCCTTTTCCTCAGTGAAGTTGTTCCATGCCAGCAGAATCATGGGCACTATCTGACTTGGGTAGATGGTAACACATTAAGTGTCCGGACAATTTTGTTTTAATACTGAAATTTTGAATTTGTACTTGGATAAGTGACGTGATCCCAAAGTTTGCTACTTTCTACTTCTAGGAAAAACTTTTATAAAGTAAAAGATTTAAAGGAATCCTGCCAGGTTACCTTGGTTTATCCTTGTGGTATAGGACATTCATTTAACAGAAGCCTTACAAAGTAATTTTTTTAATGCTTAGCTATTTATTTTGAGAGAGAGAGAGAGAGAACGTGAGCAGGGTAGAGGCAGAGAGAGAGAGAGAGAGAGAGACGGTGTGAGCAGGGGAGGGGTGGAGAGAAAGGGAGAGAGGATCTCAAGCAGTCACCATGTTGTCAGCATAGAGCCCAGAGCCTGATGTGACCTCTGTCTCATGAATCCCAAGATCATGACTTGAGCCAAAATCAAGAGCCGACTGCTTAACCGCCTGGGCCACCTAGACGCCCTAGTTAGTAATCTTTTTAACTCTCCTAAAATCTTTACCATTCAGATTTTGAATCAACTTTTCCTTTCCTTGAGGTTGTTTTATATGCTATCTATTGATTTCATCACTCATTTATCTTATTTATCATATTTCATTTATGGAGAGATAGAGATTTGTAAATACTCCTTCCAGTCTATGTAATATAGTGTATTCTACATAGTACAGAATGTAGTAAGTGCTGTAGTGGGGTATAAATAAAGTGCTGTGACTTAGTATGTGGTGGAGGAGAATGTGCTTGCTAAGGTGAAGAGTTGATATGGAATGTGGCATGGTAGAGGTATTCGCCAGCTTTTCTTTTGAGGATGTTTTGGATTCCAGTG